GAGTAAGAGAGTCTACCTCACCAACCCCACTTCCAGGTTGATAGTTTAATACTGATTGACCACTAGCTGCCCTCGACTTCCTCTCGCATGCCAGGTGATGGTTTTTCAAACCAGTGGTCCCATTGAGACTTGAATGAGCTTTGATCAGCCTCTCACATCGTTTGCATTTGTCGTATGGGTAGCCATCCACTAGCCCGCGATTATAGGGAATCCACCACTTAGATGTCCTCTTCCTCCCCTTCTCCTTTACAATTTTCTTTTGCACACCAGGTACATCAACACCAGCATCAGTAGTAGGGCCGGATTATCTGCAGATTGGGGTGGATTTGCTGCAGATGGAGAAGTTGGATTTGTAGTAGTGGAAGAAGGTGTACTAGTTGAAGCCTTCCCTTTTTCATAAGAGCTTCAAGGAGGCAGCGAACAAGATTTCTTCTTATTACCTCCTCCACGACTGCCAGAAGGTTTCGTCCTACAAAAGTACAACAAAATGGACATAAATTTCCTATTCCACAATTCAATCAATACTAAACCATTCAATCAAACTCAATAGTCAATTCAATTCAATGTCAACTTCTCATCAATTGAAACTCATAGCCATACACACTAACACACACTGACATACACAATGTAATTTGTAAATTACTAAATATATCATCAATTCACTGTCACCATCTTCACTTCACATACATTCTACACTTCTCAGTTATCATCAATTCATTGTCACCAACATTCAATAAACATTAAACTCTCCTCCTTCTCAATTCTCATATACATACATTTTTACGATTTTTCTGAATCAGCCTGCTTTGGCAATTGGCACTGGCGCACTGTTGCTGCTGGAGGAGTGTGTTGTTGGCGCACTCGGCTGCCTCTGCTTTCAATTTTCAACAACAACAACAACAAGGAACAAGCAAACAAAGGAAGAACATATCGGACATTGGATTTGGAGCGATGAATCATCCGACTAGGGGAAGGGAATCATTCGACCATTCCTTACCTATGGTCTCTGGAGCTTTTCGAAATCTGTTGGAGGTCCACAGACTACGGCAGCGGCGTCGCAAAGGGAAGGAGAAAAGGGAGGCAGCGTCACAGTCGCCGACTCACAGAGCAGAGCAACGAACAGGGGAGGCGACGTCGCAGTCGCGACTCGCATAGCAGAGCGATCAGCTATGGAAAGGGGAGTCGCGACGGGGAGAGGTGAGGCAAAGTCGGAGGAGGAAGGCGGCGATGCGGATAGCTCGTAGGCGGAGCGGCGTCGCCCCGTCGGACTAGGGAAGGTCGGAATCGGAACTCCGAACTCGAGGTTGGACATGGGAAGGTCGGACGCAAGAAGGGAGGCGATGGACTGGTTTCGGGCGGCGAATGTGGACAGTGGACACCCAATTTGGAGATTAGGGTTTCTCCAATTCTCCACGTTTTGTGAATCACCCCTCCTGTATCGGTATTTGGTTTAACCAGAATACTAACTGTATATACCGACAAGGGACCCGGTATACCGAAGGCCCCAAATCCGTCGTCGACTACCGAGTTTCCCGGTTAATGGTTTAACCGATAACCGCTGGTTATCTGTTAAATCGTTAACCGGAAAATCGATTGTCACCCCTACAAATTATATCCACATAGATCACTTCTGTAATTAAGTGCAGTAGTAGCATGAAAAACAACCACCACCAATTTAGGCTTCAGAAGCAAAGCTTCACTAATACAAAGTGTTCTACCAGAATGTGGCATTCACGTACATAGCTACACAATGAGAACTTAGAGGGTTTGGTTTGCTTTCATATATTAAGTAGAGAAGAGAGGGCTCTGACGAGGAGGTGGAGGGGAGTCGACGAGGAAAGGGACTCCCTGAATTACGAAATACAAAGTACAAATTTGCTGGTTGGCTTGGGATTGGGTGGCAGCGTAGTAGTTCAATGTAGACGGAAGGTCGGTGGAACAAGGGATTTGTTCTATTTTTGTTTTACCGAATAAATCTAGGATGAGAAAGACGATGAATGTGTTTAGTTGACGCAAATCGAAGAGGTTGTATGAGAAATCGGTTTGGTGGCAAAGGATTTCGATGATCTCTTTGTAGCTTTTAAGAGTCTGACAGAGAACGAGGACGATGAGATTCTTTCTGTGTTTTTCCTCTGGGAAAAAGGTAATAACTTAAAGAATCGAAATAAAAATCATATGTATTTACGAGGAGAAAAAGAAATCAAAAAATTAATAAGCAAATACCTAGTTCGGTGGTTGACCCAGTTTATAGGTGACGGGTTTTAAAGTGATATTCACAAACCCAATTAATGCCACATCAGCTTGCTAATGCTAGGTGGTCCAATAGAAAACTGCCACACTTTTAACAGCGGGGCCTAATAATAAGGGTAATTAACATAAACGGTCATAAACCTTTACACTTAGTACAAAGCGGTCATAAATCTTTAATTTGTAACGATTTGGTAACTCACTTTTGATCATATACCAAAATGATCATTCCGTCTATCTCCGTCAAAAAATCTGTTAATTGAGTCTAGTCAACCGTCTCGTCATCAAAAGAATTAATCCAAAATAAATAAAACATTAAAACCAAACCAAAACTAGACCCTAATTCCAACCCAACCTTAGGTCACACAATTCGTGGGCCCAAGGCCCACGCTCCCGTTTAAGAGCGGCAAAGCACGAATTCTAGGAAAAGCGGCTGTAATTAGCGAATTACAATTTTTCAGAGCGCGAATTACTCCAGAAAAATCGCGACTTTATTTTTCAAAGGAATTCGTTAATTTCTTAAACCAAAATATTTGAACTCTACAGATCTACACTAAAACTAAGCAGGGACTGTTGACGATGCAGGTTCAAAGATTTTGCTTTGTACATCTATTATATGAGATATTGCCTTTGCATAAACAAAGTAAAACGACATAAATTGTGGGCAAAGTAAAAACTATAAAAAAGAGATAAGGATCTGCTTCTTCATCAAAGAAAGGAATACATGCAGATGCGGTAGAGATCTGGAGATGATTGAAAAAGAAAAAAAATACAAATATACAATATTCTATTGCTTTTTAGATGAACAAGATTAAGGGTGACACAAGAACTCGGCGGTGTAAAGGATCTGGACGAGCGGCCGAAGAAGATTCATGTTGCGGCTATTCCTTAAGACTCTGCAAAATTTGGATTCTTAAAGGTACTGTAAAATCGATCCAATTACAGGGAAGGGATTGAATATATTGATTGAAAGAGGGTCAATGAGGTTGTGATGGGTCTGAACTCTGAAATTTTGCAGATCTATAGGAAGAAGAAGATATAGAGCGCATGAGAAGGTTGGGGGGGGGGGGGGGAAGAAGAAGACTATGAGAGAGAAGTAGAGGTTGTTGGAGAAACTTGTGGTAGGTGGGAGGGTTTTTAAATGCACTTTTTTAGTTTTATTATTTTTTAAATAAAAGTATTAAAAAGGGTAAGAGTTATGATTTAATATTTTTGTTGTTCGATAACTAACCTTCAGCAAATATATACAATAATGTTTAACGTTTGATTGTACTTAAAACTCCCAATCAAAACTTTAACAAATAAAAAATGCCCAAAAATTTATGTTTTGTAGGTTGTGATATTTTTGTCAAATGTCTATTAGTATATTAATTTAGATAGTATAATATAGACGCTTTTTTTACGCTCACAAAATATAATTCTCGAACAATAGACGCCCTCGCGCTCCCGCTCTCGCTCCTGCTCCACGAATCGGTAAGCTAAACCCAACCCAAACCATTCCTCTCTCCTCTCCCTCTTCGCCACAATCTCCACATCGCCAGAGGACCTCAACCCCCGAGCAGCACTGGTTTTGGGGATAAGGGCTCTGAAGAGGAAGTTTGACGATCTAATGGCGGTGGAGGAGCGAAAACGGTGGCGGTTGGAGTCATTGGAGGACGAGTAGAAGGAAGGCAGCGCAGTCGGTGACGAAGTCTGTGGCAAACATATTGTGATTCGCAGTTCCAGGTGCGGATTCCCAGGTGAAAGGGATGGAACTGGATGCACCGCCGTAGTAATACCCTGTAGGAGGGGTTACGGGTAGCAGTGGGAACGAAATCATCTAGTTCCATCCCTTTGGATTCAATGAAAGAGAGGCAAACTTAGCTAGGTATAATATCGCATGTGCCAATTGGAACGAAATCACTTCGTTCCTATTTGTTTTCCCCCTCTGTGTTTTAAGTTTTAATTTTTAATTAATTTAATGAGATGGTCATTACCAAAAAAATAAGAGAGGCGAATGAAGGTAAAGAGCCATAGAGGAGGAGAGATTCCGTCGAGGACAGTTCTCCACCATGAATCGTCGGGAGATCGAGAGAGTTAAATCGAAGAATACCTCATGGGGGTTAATTGAGGAAGGCGGCCTGAGATTTTGAGAAGTTTTGCGACGGACAATGAGGATAAGAGAGAAGGCCAGGTCGAGCTGCGACCGCGAGATGGTGGACGGCGGCAAGAGATCCGAGGTGAGGGACAAGAGTTTTGTCTTAGGTTGGGGTCAGGTTGGTTACGGGTGCCGGTTTGGTTTCGGTTTTTTGGTTGTTTTTTTATGAATTTTGTTAATGACGTGGACGCTGACAAGGCAAATCTAACAAAAAATTGGATGGAGATTAACAGAAGTGACCATTTTGTACAAGTTTATACTTTTGTTACAAAATCATTACAAATTAAAGATTTGTGATCATGGTTTGTGATCATTTTGTACTAAGTGCAAATGTTTATGACCATTTATGATAACTACCCAATCATTCAACAGTTTTTTTTTATTTGCTGTAAGCCCATCCAGGCCAAGGCCCATAAGCCCATCACCCATATTTTGAGGTTCCAAAAGCCCATATCCAAGAGCCCGCGCCAACACCCTTGACATATATATAAACATAAACCCTAATCCCCAAATCCCATTAGACGCAGCAGCAGCTTCCATCTTCACTCTCCCCACCGGCGGCCGAAAATCCCCAGCTAGGTTAAGCTCCCTTTCTCCACTCCCGTCGGCGGCGAAAATGGGTCGTGTTCGCACCAAGACCGTGAAGAAGTCCTCGCGCCAGGTGATTGAGCGCTACTACTCGAAGATGACACTCGACTTCCACACCAACAAGAAGATCCTGGAGGAAGTCGCCATCATCCCTTCCAAGCGCCTCCGCAACAAGATCGCCGGCTTCTCCACCCACCTGATGAAGCGGATCCAGAAGGGCCCCGTCCGTGGCATCTCCCTCAAGCTCCAGGAGGAAGAGCGCGAGCGCCGCATGGACTTCGTCCCCGAGGAGTCCGCCATCAAGGTCAACAGCATTGAGGTCGACAAGGAGACGCTCGAGATGATTAGCGCCCTCGGCATGGCCGATGTCGGTGGGATTTCCGTCGTCGACCCCGTTGCTGCCTCGGCTCCGCAGTTCGGTGGGTTTGGCAGAGGCAGGCCGAGGTACTAAGGCATTATGGAAAAAGGGTTCAGGGCGGGGGGAGTCAGTCCTGGCGTTCTGCTTCTATCTGCAGTTTATTAGTCTGTTTTTGGTTATATGGGAATCTGGAGTATTTGTTTTTAGTTTGTGTTACTGTGAGACAAGTTTTGTTTGACTTTGCTACTCTTGTTGAATTGTTTTCTAAATGGATTGTAGTTTCTGAAATGGTGTTCGTCCTGGATGCTGTCATTTGCCCCTCGTTTGCCTGAATATGCAAATTTGGCCCCTGTTTCTCTATATGCTGTCTATTGTGGGTGATGATTGTCTACCTCTTAGGGTAGAGGTTTCAGTGATGTTAGAGCTAGATTTCTTAAATGGGTTTCTTCTAGCCATTGCCCATCTGAATTTGTGCTTTGCTGCTGGGACTCTGCCATTCGGTGAGGATTTGTTTAGAAGAGTGGTTAGAGGTGACTTGGGTCTCTATTATGTGCATAAATATGGTACTTTGGATTAGTTGGGCGTATTAGTTTCATCTCAGTATCTTCTGTCAGGATAGATTTCAACAATGTTGCTCTATATGGTCGAAGGTTGGGGATCTCATTGCAGCATTTTAGTGCACCACTTGTTTGAAAAGATGTTTGTCATCCTCTAGGGTTGGAGTGATTTTGAGTTTTAGGTAATGAGCTAGGTGTTGAAATCCCTGAATCTCTTGAGGTGGCGTGGGGATGATTTGAGTGGAACATTGTCAGTTGAGCTTTAGGATCGGGGCTTAGGTTTCTTCTTCAATATTCTATATATTTCATAAGTTGGAGATGCATCTGATTGAATGTTAGCAATTTATGCTGGCGAGTCGATCTTGAAATGAAATGCTGCAGCCTATGTATCCAAATACTTTCTTTATGGATATCAGGTAGTGTTTTGCCAGGGCATGTAATCTCATATGGGTGGTTTTCGTAGCCATAGGCAATGACTGAAACATACGGCAGAAAGAAATGTATCGTATTAGACTTTTCTGTCTGTAAACTCTATCTATCTATTTGGTGATATGATATCACTGCTGCAGTAGAGAGTGAAGAGGGGGGAAATTAGTCTGGTAATGGTTTCCCTGATTAAATTGGTTTGGTTGCTTCTTGTTCTGTTCAAGGTTTAAAAGGGATTCATGAACCAAAACTGCTGGTCTCCTATCCCCTTCCATTTTTCTAGCAATTGAATGCATGAGATTCAAACCATGGACTTAGCTAACCTTTAAAAGGTGAAACGTGTGAACACACTTGTGTGATGTTTAACTGTCGATCGTATGGAAGTATGGATTTCTCGGCATATCTGCTTCGTACTATTTTTACGTAAACGCGTTCAACTTTAGAGTTTCAGAAGATATCTAGTCCGCGCATAATCCATACCGGCATGATTTGCTCCCAGTATTGATAGAGTGAGCAGCAGAATGAATTTACTTACCTTCCGAAATCCTAACTTACCACTAATTACTTGGTATTATCCCACTTCCCCTTGAACCTCCACCTCAATTAAGCATAATTAACCACCCATGGCCCACTAATGTGGTGTTCAGCTTCTTGTGAGACAAACAAGATGATTGTTTTAGTTTAGCCCACCACGTTATGCAGTCCCCATAGTTTCCACTATTGGAACCAAACATCAAGTAAGCATTAGTGCACGACTTTGCCTTTTAAAAAGCCTCACTTGTGTTGTGGGCTTGTGGCCCTAGTGAAGGGGGCACCCTAGCAAGTTGGAACCCTATCTAGGTTTCATATTGCTTCCGTTCCTTTGAGCTAGCGGAACAAAAACAATTTCTAATTTTTTCATATGGGTAGTTAATTCGGGGTTAATTGCATGGTTGGTCACGGAGATACCAAAAAAGGTTCAAATTTGGTCACTTGAAATATTTAAATCCATGGGTGGTACTTCAGTTTACTGAAACCGTTCAAGTTTGGTCACTATTCGTCCAACTCTGTTAACTTTTGCTTACGTGGCGGTCAACTCTAAAATTGACCGTTAAATGTGTGACGTGGCAATTTAAAATTAATAAAATAAATAAAATAATTTTTTTAAAATTGCCACCTCATTTCCACCTAATTATCACTTTTATTTAAAATTAATAAAATTAAATTGGCCTGTCGTCGATCAACCCCAAGGCTCCTGCTGCTGCTCCTCCTCCGCTCGCCGCCTTCGACGTCGAACAACCGCCGCCGCTTCCCCGCTCTCCCTCCGATCCTTCCTCCTCCTCGTCGCCCTCCGGCCAGACTCGACTCCTCTCTGAGATGCCGAATCTCAAGGACCCTGAGCTACTCGCGTTCATGACCACAGCCATCGCTGCCGTCTCCCAGACCCGAGCCATCCTCCGCTGCTGCTGCTGCTGCTCCTCCGCTGGCCGACATCGAGGCGAATCTTTCCTCCCCGAGATCCCAATTTGACGAAGTTGTATCTCGAATTGGGGGAGGGCGGTTTCAGGGCAGACGTTGGATTCGCCCCTGAAAGAGGGAGATGTAGCGGGTGTATATCGAGGTCCCGGCCTTGAAAGCGAGTTGCTGGTAGACGATGTTGCGGGGCCAGGCGAGGAACGGCGTGTGGAAGGTGTCAAAGGTTGGGGGCGGGTAGCGATCGATTAGCGAACTCAAAAGTCAAAAGAGGATCCGACTGGCGGAGGTGGCGAACCCCGATGTCTCTCCCTCGCAGGATAAGGATCTGGCGATTATCCTCGGGCCGACCACTAGGGCGCGCTGCTGATTTGCAGCCTTGGTTGTTCTCGATGATTTCGCAGCGGCGGTTCTAGCGGCTGGGGTGGCAGCAGTAGTGCTGTTAACTTCCTCGACAACGGTGGCGACGGTCGGAGTGGCTCCGTCCGGGGAGAGCTTTTTGCGGGGGCGAGAGTAATGAGGTGATAATATTTGTCTTGCGAATTAGAAGGTTAGGTTTTTTAATTTATTTTAAATAAAAGTGATAAATAGGTGGAAATGAGGTGGCAATTTTAAAAAATTTAATTTTATTAATTTTAAATTGCCACATCACGTATTTAACAGTCAATTTTTAGAGTTGACCGCCACATAAGTAAAAGTTAACGGAGTTGGACGGAGAGTGACCAAACGTGAACGATTTCAGTAAAGCGAAGTACCACCAATGGATTTAAATATTTTGAGTGGTCAAACTTGAACGTTTTTTATAATCTTAGTGACTAACCATGCAATTAACCCTTAATTTGTGACTGAACATCAAATAAATCTCATTAGGATTTTACTTTTCACCCTATCAAGTTTGTTGAGGATTATAGATTACTAATTCTCGCTCATGAGATTTGGAAGAATAGGAGAGAAAAGAGAATGGAGAGGGATTCAGTAAAATCGAATTTTCATTTTATGTGGTCGAGTTAATGTTAGTTGATATCTTGTAAAGTTACGCAAGCTAGATTGCAGTAAGTTAGGTCGTTGGACTGGACCTATTTCATCGTAGATGGAGATTTGACTTAAATTTTTATGGGCATACGATTAGGGATGGCAATGGGTCGGATACGGTGCGGATATCTTATATCTGTTGCCTGCCATTCCTGCCCGCGGGTTGTACCCGTGCCCGGCTCACTAAGCTAAACGAGCATAAAATGTAGACTAAGCCCAAACCCAGTCGGACATCGGTTAGCTCGCGGGTAAGGGCTTGCCCGTCAACACCTAATAAAAATCATCAACTAACCTAAACCTGTAGATATTAAATGAACTCGAAGATGAAGGAAAAACAAAAACATAATGCATTCCACTATTCCAGCATTATTCATGAATTGCAAATCCAAAACCTGTCTGGAAATCGAGGAATCTAACCTTAAAATACCACAGAACAGAACTTATGAAAACTAAGAACTTAAGTCTTAAAGTCTGAATTCTGAAACTCCCACCAACAATCATCTACAATTCCCAGCTAATAATCAAATAAATCCAGAACCATGATAGTTCAAACACAATAAAAAAGCCAAAAAGAAATAAGCACTAGTAGGCAGTAGCACTGCAGCAACCAGCAAACCAGCAACAATCATTCTTCAACCCAGCAACACAGGATCAGTCCAGCAACCCATATCAGCCCAGCAGCAACCCAACATCAACCCAGCAGCAACCCAACAAACGAGCATGGACAAAATTTGCAATTTGACAGTTTCATTAAACATTCAACACTTGATTCTGATGCATTTTTCGTATAGGAAACTTAGAGCTTAAAAGTTAAAACACAAACCATGAGCTAGTCCAGCAGGTTGACCTCAGCAGCAACATCATCTTCATCTCCTCTCTGCTCCCCCTGAGTTCCAGCTCCATCTGTTACAAAGCAATGTATTTAGTAAAGAACGAGAACCTAAGTTAGTAAACCAATCACAGCCATACAAGGACTTACCTGTGCTCTCTTCGACCGTGGTATCATCCATTGCCATAGCCGAGAACACCCCCTCCAGCGCTTTCACGTCCGAGGCAGTCACTACAAAAGAATGGAAGAATTAGTTGACTTGTAAAGAATTAAAGAAATTTAAACCATGGCAGGAATTAAACAAGCAGAATACCTTTGTTATCGTCCTGAATCCAAGTCCTTAGTATCATAATGGCTTCCACTGTCATAGGATCAAGTCTGCTCCGATCGGGATCAAGCAGTCACCCACCAGAACTACATGCAGATTCAGATGCAACACTCGTAATAGGTACAGCAAGTAAATCCCTTGCAATTTCTTGCAAAATGGGATACTTGGCACCATTGAATTTCCACCAACCCAACAAATCGAAGTCCGGTGTTCTAGGATGAACATACTCAGCTAGATAGTGATCTAACTCGGTAGTAACCATAGTTGTTCTAGTTTTCTTTCTTTGGCTCGCATATAGATCAAAATCCAGATCAGTGGCCAAGAACAAGCATTCAAACTAGAAGGAACAGCCAAGTTTTTGGATGATTTCCTTTGGTATTCAACAACCAAGTCAGCAAGCACAGATCTGACCCTTTCAGAAACAAGATCGGTACTAGTAATACCAAATTTACCAGCATAGTACCCAACA